TATTTTGTCAAACATATATACAAAGAACACCCAGTTGATCTTGTCGTCCATTAAAACACTTACTTCTCACCAAATTACTTTGGATTATTATTTTGTCAAACATATATACAAAGAACACCCAGTTGATGTCGTCGTCCATTAAAACACTTACTTCTCACCAGATTACTTGGGATTATAATCTTGTCAAACATATAGACAAAGAACACCCAGTTAATCTCGTCGTGCGTTAAAACATTTACTTCTCACCAAATTACTTTGGATTATAATCTTGTCAAACATATAGACAAAGAACACCCAGTTGATCTTGTCGTCCATTAAAACACTTACTTCTCACCAAATTACTTTGGATTATGATTTTGTCAAACATATAGACAAAGAACACCCAGTTGATCTTGTCGTCCATTAAAACACTTACTTCTCACCAAATTACTTTAGATTATAATCTTGTCAAACATATAGACAAAGAACACCCAGTTGATCTCGTCGGCCATTAAAACACTTACTTCTCACCAAATTACTTTGGATTATTATTTTGTCAAACATATAGACAAAGAACACCCAGTTGATCTTGTCGTCCATTAAAACACTTACTTCTCACCAAATTACTTTGGATTATTATTTTGTCAAACATATAACAAAGAACATCCAGTTGATTTTGTCGTCCATTAAAACACTTACTTCTCACCAAATTACTTTGGATTATAATCTTGTCAAACATATATACAAAGAACACCCAGTTGATCTCTTAACATTTAATTGTTTAACTTGTTAACACTCTTAAGATTAATCTCGTCAATATCCTGAACGCTTTTTTCGTTAACAATTCTCGTATTTCACGTGTTTTCTCTGACCTTTAGCCTCGCATATGAATGAAATTTCGTAATGAAAAATAATTTAGATGTTTTACATTAGTAATAAGTCATGTGACCAAAATGCGATAGAACGAGAATACCCATATTTTTGAACATAAAATAAAAAAATCAGAAAATCTTCGAAGTGTGCTATCTTTTTTACCTCGTGTTTTTATTTCTTCTAGTACCAAAGTGAATTACATTCACACTTATCCAGGATCCTAGGCGAAATATTAGAAGGTATTCTAGGTTTCTGTCGCTATGGCAACACTTATTTTTGCTTTTGTTTTATTAAATTTTTTAAAACATTTTATATTTGATATAGTTAGAAATATTACTGTATTTGCAATTCACTTAAGATTTTCTTCAGTTTGTTTGTTTATAATCAAGCACAAAGTAGCACAATGGGATCTCTGTGCTCTGCCCACCACGGGTATCGAAACCCGGATTTTAGCGTTGTAAGTCCGCAGACATACCGCTGTGCCACTGGGGGGGGGATTTTCTTCAGAGTAATAATTACTTATACTTTACTTTTCTTTTAGAAATAGTAAGTTTTATTCGAACTCGGATTAAACCTTTTGTATAAAATATTATTACACAGGTACTTTTTCAAGAAATACCTACTTGTTCTTTTGGAGCAACAAGCCTCCACGTGCAGTTCAAATTCGGCTCATAGAAATGAAAGTTATTAAAGCTTGGGGAGGTAACCAAGCCGCGAGACTCATTAACAACTAAAGGTCTGGTGGGTCCACATGCAACTGTGCTATTTACTCGTTCAATGTCCAAAGATGATGCTGAAATAAAAAGATTATTATTATTATTGGTTAAGTGAATTCAACGAGGGTTGGATACCAAGACATATATTAACATCTGGCAGTGGAGTTTAAAGTGAACCTTCTTAACTTTAATAAACTTGACTTATTCTATAATTATAGTTTCAAAATCTACCTTTAATGAGTTTTCTTTACCGTGATATCCTAATTTGATTGCAGGGATAACATTAAGCCTTACAAGATAGGAAGAAATTCACCCGAAATCAGCATTCTTTGAGTCTTCTTAATAAGTGCATGTGAATGATTTTTAGTCCCTGATGTGAACGAAGATAATCCTACCATACCTAATACACTTGCAAATTCTAAATTTCAGCCAAGCCTAAAAGATTTCAAAAAATGAAAACAATATACGAAGTTTTGAAAATGTGAGTAATAAAAATCCACACTTTTTGATGTACATATCTTAGGCATGGCAACATTATTATTTTCCACTTATCTTTAATGATCCTTACCTTTTACAGCGATAATGCCCAGAATAAGACTTAAAACAAACGAGTTTATTAATTGCTGTTTGAGTTGCAAGTTAGAAGACATTGTGTATCTCTGACTACCTTCGGACAAGTACTCCACATTATTTAACAGATATCAAACTGGGCGTTTATTTGAACCCATTATCTTTTTGTTTTGTTTTGAAAAAAAAAAAAAGTATATGCGTTGGACATCGCGTGATCTACTGTGATATTCTTATCGTGTAATAATACATTGTTGAATCTTATGCTCGTCAACTTTGCGAAATGCTTTGTTATCGACGTGTTAGTTGCAAGCTCTTTTATTGATCTGTTGTCCTAAAAAAGTGCTGTAAACAGTTTCAGGTTAGGTTTAGTTGAATTATCTGGGTGAGTGTTTACACTGAAATATTTGATTAAGCTACCTACATATTGACAAATCAAGATCACCACATTATATAAAACCCGGAAGAAACAATGTACAAGCTCAAGGTGGAATGGAAGGTGTGTAACCAAGCTTGCTTATAGAATTACCTTTCATAAATAAATGGCACCGTCGACTTTCAAAATTTAATTTAGTGATAATAAAAGTAAGAATATTTTTTTTCAAATACTTTAATTGAGTACAATTACGTATTCTACTTCGGTTAATGCCAACGTACACAAATGAAGTTTTCACATCTTATAAATTAATTTCATGATGTTACAAAATTACAGTAGGCTTATAACGATGTCCAGTTTATTTATGGGTGAAGATCCTCTGTTTTAAAACATGGAAATAATCAATTTTCATCCTCAACAAAAGATGATGCAAGAAAAACATACATTTACTTAAAAAATACAGAAGTGATTAAACCAATAAGTTCCAGCTAGTAGATCCCTGAATCCTACACTTTATGTTGAACCAATGATATTTTTCTCCCTTGTTTATATCACATATGCATTTTGAGATCCCAGCTTCTAGATTCGGCTTTATATATACATGAACATGCGCAGTAAACAGACGTATCGTTTGTTTATTGTTACTTATATATAAACATATGCAGTATACGGACGTACCGTTTGTTTATTGTTACCTATATATGAACATGTGCAGTATACGGACGTACCGTTTGTTTATTGTTACCTATATATGAACATGTGCAGTATACAGACGTATCGTTTGTTTATTGTTACCTATATATGAACATGTGCAGTATACAGACGTATCGTTTTTTACCGTTACCTATATATGAACATGTGCAGTATACAGACGTATCGTTTGTTTATTGTTACCTATATATGAACATGTGCAGTATACAGACGTATCGTTTGTTTACTGTTACATACATGTGAACATGTGCAGTATACAGACGTATCGTTTGTTTATTGTTACATATATATGAACATGTGCAGTAAACAGACGTACCGTTTGTTTATTGTTACCTATATATGAACATGTGCAGTATACAGACGTATCGTTTTTTATCGTTACCTATATATGAACATGTGCAGTATACAGACGTATCGTTTGTTTATTGTTACCTATATATGAACATGTGCAGTATACAGACGTACCGTTTGTTTATTGTTACCTATATATGAACATGTGTAGTAAACAAACGTACCGTTTGTTTATTGTTACCTCAATAACCTGAATATTTATATTACGTAAACAGCTGAGATGACAACATTTCAAAACAGAAATTTACTAATATGTGAAATATTTTAATCAATTCATATTTCCATAGAAACTCTTACTGTCCCTGGGTGATCAAAGGTAATGAAGATATCCACGGGCATTTAGGAGCATAATTTAAACAAGCACCAAAGTTTTTACTTCATTCACTAAGTAAATGATGGAAACAATAACTATTACAACGCATTCATCATGACGTCACGAAGTCGAACCTTTGTCTCATGTCAGTGTTATTAACAAGTAATCCATTTTCCAACGAATTCCGTGTATAGGCTTCAATTCTATGTTTGTGAAGAAATGATAGTAATTGAATAAGGACTCAATGTGGTCATCAAAATCATATCTTCACGTTGACAATGGAGACTTTTTTTGTTGATTGTGTAACTCGATAACAAAAATGTAGCTGAACGTTTCGAAAGCTCATATTACTCGTGGTTTTCACACTGAAAGATATTTCAACGTATTTAGTTATTCAGGGGAAAGATGAAATATTAACTGTTATAAAAAAATACTCAAGCACTTATAAAATAACGTAATAATGTTATGAAAAAGTACGAGATGTTTCCCTCGAGCTTCTTCTTCAAAGTAACATTTAGATTTACAGATTTGCTGCCTTTCTTTACATTCTAGAACTACACTTTATTACCTAACAATAATACAACGATACCTGGACTCTTTCTTAAAAAACAGCAAGCAGAAATTGATTCAATTATTCAAAAAGATAAAATATAAGTATTTAGTTATGTCTGTGGCCAGACATGACCTAGTGATTAACTTGTGATTCTCAGAATCCACGGTTCACGACCCGTTGACTTTGGACCGTCATTGCTTTATAAGAGCGATGGTAATATCGATTAGTCGAGTGTTGGAAATAAATACTGTTGACTAGCGGCCTTATCTCTAATCAATCCGTTCAGAATTAGAGACAGCTATGCAAAGATATCCCTTTCGTAGTTTTGTGTGACATTCTGTCACAAATATACAGACTATGTTTGTGTGGTGCTCCTAAACCTAATGTGTTAATGTTGTAGGTGAGCAAAATGTAAATTGAAAGTTGAATACTTCTAATGAACTAACTACATTATTTTTAACCTCTATGGAACATTTGTTCCATATTACAGAATTTAGGGTTAGTCCACTTATTTCTCATTCCTATAAGCTCATGGAATATTTTATAATGTGGATTGTAATTCTTGGGGGATTGACAACATCAGTGACTTTATAGACCTAATTTGAATGTCAGATCAGTTGGTCAAAGTAAAATTCAAAATACCAAACATTATTATTTTTTTAGGTTTTGAAGATTAAATCGATGTTAGAACCACTGAAATGGGGAGTGAACTTTAAGAATGGTTCCAAGGAGAAATAGGTGGGAATCAAAGACAAACAGTGTTGGTCATACGGATCCACAACAAAACCGGAAGCTCTTGATTAGCAAGGATCTCTTGTTAATTTTTTAATGTTGCATATCTTACAGTTTTATAATGCCACTGGATTTAACGCCCATCACAATGGAGTGGGAGAATCTAATTTAACAATCACCCCTTAACCCGCAACATTGAACAGTTATCTATCTATGATGATATAAAATATATTTTACCTTTCCATGTAAATGTTCAAGCAGGTGTACTGTTCAAACAGATGGTTGTATATTTTCACTAGTCTCCTACCTTAGAATAATGTAACATATTACAAGGATTATGTTTATAGTTGCTTAGCCTTGTTTCTGTGTCATGCTTTCCTGGAGTGGTGTCATAATCATTCCAATGGTGTGGTATGGAGACGTGTACAAGTTAGTATACGTTGTGATTTATCTTCCGTGAATATGTTTAATGGGTTTTGTTTGTTTGTTTGATTAAGCACAAAATTTCATAATGGGCTATCTGCTCTTTACCCACCACTGAGATCAAACCCCTAATTTTAGCATTATAAGCCCTCAAGCTTACTGCTGAACCACCAGGGTGGTAGTGGTATTTATCACTGGGAACGATGATTGACATGGGAAGTCTAAAGATTGTGAAATACCATACTGCAAGTCTGGTCTCACCGAACAGTAGTATTTCATCATTCTGAACAGTAGTATTTCATCATTCTGAACAGTAGTATTTCATCATTCTGAACAGTAGTATTTC